TCCTGGAACTCACTCTGTAGCCCAGGCTGGCCTCGAACTCACAGAGATCCACCTGGCTCTGCCTCCCAAGTGCTGGGATTAAAGCCACTACTGCCTGGCTACTTTTTATGGTGTTTTGCCTACATATTTGTCTGGGTGAGGGTGTAGAATCTGGAGCTGGAGTTAACAGGTAGCTTTGAGCTGCCATGTGTTGCTGGGAATTGAACCTGGGTCCTTTGGAAGAGCAGCCAGCGCTCTTAACCACTGAGCCATCTCTCCAGCACCAGACCCTCTTTTCTTAAACAAATAAACAAATAAGTAAATAATTTTTTTTTGCATTTGTGTGTGTGTGTGTGTGTGTGTGTGTGTGTGTGTAAGAGAGAGAGAGAGAGAGAGAGAGAGAGAGAGAGAGAGAGAGAGACACCATGGTGCCTATGTGGACGTCAGAGGACACTGCTGGAGAGTCCGTCCGTTCTCTTGCTACCATGAAGGTCCTGGATATCATCAGACTTAGGTCCTCAGGCTTGGCAGTAAGCGCCTTTACTCATGGGGAGCACTTTCGGAAATTATTATATTGTTATTTCATTAGCATATAAATTAATTCGCACAGACATATGAAAATGATGGCATTTTCATGCACACTGAGTTTAGGCTGACTTCCTGTTCCTCCTGTTCCTCTCCACCCGGTCTTCCTGCCTCTCTCCCACTGTACCCTCCACATCACAGGTGCTCTGCTTCCCTCCCGTCTCCTCCCTCACGGCATCTCCTCCTCCTGGGTCCCTTCCTAGTTTCCTGGCCTCCACCCACACTCATTCCCACACAACACACGTATATAAAAATCGAAAGCCGGAATCCACGTCTGAGAAAGGACATGCAGCGCTCGGTTTCCCGAGCCAGAATGACTCTGTTTAATATGTTTTCCAGTTCCATCGACTTTCCCATCATCATGAAAGAGCAGTAGCTGCTCTTAATGCTGAGTCGTCTCTCTAGCTGCCCTGCCCTCTTTGAAAAACAGACTTACTTTTATTTTATTTGTGTGTCTGTGCATGAGCACACACATATGCGTGTTTTTTTCTCTCTCTTTAAACAGGGCCTCACGTATCCTAGGCTGGCCTCACACTCACTGTGTGGCTGAGGCTGTCCTTGAGTTCCCGAGCTTCCTGCCTCCATCTCTTAAGTGTTGAGATTATAGGTGTGTGACACACCAGCTCCCGAGCTTCCTGCCTCCATCTCTTGAGTGTTGAGATTATAGGTGTGTGACACACCACGCTTCGAGGCTTTTTCTCCCCCTCCCCCAATCTGGGGCTTTCAGTCAATGGGGAAGAGCATTACAACAAGTTCAAGGTCAGCCTGGGGAGGCTTACCAAAAAGTAGGAGCTTTCCTGGCACTTGGGAGGCAGAGGCCGGTGGATCTCTGTGAGTTTGAGGCCAGCCTGGGCTACAGATCGAGTTGCAGGACAGCCAGGGCTACACAGAGAAACCCTGCCTTGGAAAAAAAGGGGGGGGGGCGGTGAGTGTGTCGCTCAGTGGTGGAGTGCTTGCCTGGAATGTACAAAGCCCTGTGTGCTAGTTACTTTCCTGTTGTGGTGATTAAGCCTCCAGACTAAGACAATTTATGGAAGAAAAGGTGACTTTGGCTTCCAGGACAATAGTCCATGATGGCAGAGCGGAGGCCCTGAGCAGCAGACATGGCGGCTGGAGCAGAAGCTGAGCGCTGACATCCTTCAGTGTGAGCATGAAGGTAGAGTGAACTAGAGATCTGAGCGTCTTTAAAGTCTCAGAGCTTGCCTCTAGCGATAGACTTCCTCTAACAAGGCCATACCTCCTAAACCTCCCAAACAGTGCCACCATCGGCTGGAGAACGAGTGTTCAAAAGTCCGACGCTTCGGGGGATAGCTCGTTTAAACCACCACCACTGGGCTGGACTCCCCAGCTCCGAGTAACACCCAGCATGACGGTCCACGCCCGAAATCCCTGAACTCCGCAGATAAAGGCAGGAGGATCAGGCATTCAAAGCCTTTCTCGGCTACATAGCAAGCTCCAGGCCAGCCTTGTCATTAAAGAAAGGTAGTTGAGGGGTGGATCGTGGTTAGATCGCGTACTGCTCTTTCGAGAGAACTGAGCTCAGTTCCCAGCACTCACGTGATGGCTCGTAGTTACCTGTGACTCACCTTCCAGGTGTTCTGATGTCTCACCTGGTCTTTCCAGTGGTCTGCGTAAACTATTGCAGGCACACACATAGTCACATATATAAATACATTTTACAGACAGGTTTGGAGGGGCTCGAGATGGCTCAGCAGGTCCAGGCATTTGCTGCCATGCCTGATTACCTGAGTTCAATGCCCAGGGTACAAATGGTAGGACAGAACCAATATCCCCAAAGCATCCTCTGATCCCCACATACAGGCTATGGC